TCTTGTTTGAAGGAGTTTCAAATGTTTTGGCAATAACAGAATTGCTTTTATGGTTAATATAATGGAGAACTCATGTTTACTTCAGTAGTATAATGTATTGAAGAAGGTAGATGATGCTGATTTTCAGTGATAGATATGAGTCTTCATTGATCCCATTAATATCTAAAGTGAGTTTTCACTTGATCTATTTATTTTAAATTACTTAAAAAGTAGATACTTAGATGATAGCATGTAGGATAAAAAAATAGGAATACCACATATTGTTTCTATATTCTTCCCAAATTTACCAAGTTTAGTTCCTGAATATAAATTTAATTAAATCTTTAGAAAATAAAGCAAAGGGCCTTTCTGCCGTTAGTTACCGGTGGGTTACAGTGAAAGGAGAAACTTAAAAGAAGCACAGAAAATAGTATTTTCTAAGGTTCCTTGGTAAAAAAAGTTAAATCCTGAATGAAAAAAATTCAGTTTTCTTAAATGTTCAACTATCATTTTTTCTTTTTAGTTACACCTTAAAATGCTTCCTTCAGAGCCAGTACTTCTAGAAGAAATGACAGAGTTGTCATCACAGTTGGAAGAAAACTGGATCCATTTACAATCACTGTTCAATCAAAGCATGTGTGTTTTAAATTATATAAAAAGTGCTTTATTATAAAGAAAAAACTTACGTGACTAAATAAATCAGACTTTTATATTAAAGGGGTTGAGAGTTTAACTCGTACCTTGTTTTCTAAGTCTCAATGTGAAAAGAAAATAAATGCTGGCACTACTGAGTTGTCAGTCATTCTCCACTTTAAATGCTAAATACTTTCCTGAAATAAAATTATACCTGCCTTTTATTTCAAAGATGTAGAGAATCCTCTCTAATGACTTACTTTCTGAATCTCTTCACATCAGTTATGACTTGTTTTTAAATTATCACCAGCTTGTGGTTTTTTTTTTTGATATCTGTAACATGAGGTGTACTGAGTGTTTCATGTAAAGTATTACTGAATTAAACTGAAGATAAAACTGATACATAATATAGTTGTAAAAGTGCCCTCATGTTACGAGGTAAAAAGGCATGTTTCCTTCCTTAATGGCCTTTGATGAAAACAGGTCATTGACTCTTAGAGCCAGCAGGCGTGTCAGACAGTACAGCCTCTTGAATTGCAGAACAGGAAGCTGCTGTGGTCCGCTTAGGATCTCAGTGACATATCCAGATTTTCTAACACTGCCCTAGTGCTCTCTCTATTGTAACCTTTCTAAAGGAACTTGTTCTTTTATCATGAATATGATGAGAGGCACTTTCACAAGGCAGCTTGCTACAGGACACAGTTGGACAGATACCTAGGATAGGTGAGGGAAATTCCAGATTCCATTGAAGATACCCTTCAAAGGTTTTTCTTCCTCACTGTTGACCTTTTTATTTGGGAAGAAACTACTGACTATACTTTTCTTTCATAACCATTGTGAAACTAGATAGCTTTTCTCATCATCATTGTTTTTGTAATTCAAGGCTTCAGCAATATGTGAGTTAAAAATAAGCAATTTTTAAAAGCACACTGTTCTAAAAACTTTTTTAGTTTTTATACTATACTCAAAAGTAGTGTCATTCATGAAATTCAGCTGGTTGTATTTGAAAGCCAATACCATTCTAATTAGGATGTAGTTTTATAGAATAATCTCCAGAAGGGAGAGTCCTCACAAGGAGTTGATTAATGATAAGTTTAATCGTCAAAACAGTTTTGTCTATGGTGAAATGTAGAGTTAGTAAACTGTTAAAGAAATAAGTGAGTTTGGTTATGTGCTTTGTTCGTTTAGAAATGTTTATAAACTTAACAGTTATTGACTGAAATGTTAATAATGACTGAAGTTCTAACTTAAACATTAAAAACTGTATTCCCCTACACCCCAAATACTATATTCTAAAGACATGGCTAAATTCAGTATATAATTATGTACCATGTGAATGAAAATTGTAAATACCTAAAACAGTATTAAAAGTTCCAAACTGAAATTGTATTGCTATGATAAATCTTGAACTTTCTTTTTCAGATGAGAATACAGGAGTTGAGTGTATTGTTTTTATTGGTGATATCTTTAAATACTATTAAAGCATCATTTTGGCAGGTAATCTTCCAGAACATTTTCTGTATATTTGCCATCAAGGAAGGGTGGGAGAAAGAAAAACAAAGGTTATATTTTGTGTGTATAATTTTTCTTAAAATGTATCAATCCGTACTGCTTTTTCTTTACATTTTAAATTACAAATGTAGTATGACTGCATTTTACTTGTAAAAACATCAAAGACAAGTCTATGTTTGATAATCACCTTCAATCCCAGTAACTTCCCTTGAAGTAGCAGTTGTTAACTTTCCATCTAGACCTTTTTCTGTGAATGTATATACATGTTATATATAGCTACAGGAAATAAACTATTGCTTCAGTTTTTACATAAATATATGAATGTCATTCTGCAACTTTTCTACTTGGTTTATTTATTTGCGTATTTCTCCTAATCTCACCTATTTACTTTTGTATAGTGTTCCACATTAGCTTACAATGGACACTAGGGTAGTTCCTCCGCCCTTTTTTCTCTTTACAAACAGTGCTGAAGGAATATCATCCTGCATGACTCTTTATGTGTATGTAAGGATTTCTCTGGAATATGCTTAAGCTTTGAACAGCTGGAACAGTTAGGCAGTTTTAAAGAGATACTTCAGTTGGCTTCCAAAATGGCTATCAATTTAAAGATTCTCCTCAGCAGTGAATGAGTACTTGCTTCCCATATCCTTGAGGACATTCAATTTTTAGATTAAAAATTTTACTTAACTTAATGGGTGAAAAATTATCATTTTCATTGTTTATATTAAAAAGATCTGACACTAGTGAGGATGGGTATCTTTTCATATATTTATTTTAGATTGTTCTTGTATTTCATGTGTGAATTGCCCTTTGCCAATACTGCTTATTTTTCTGTTGTATGATTTGTCTTTTGGATTTGTTAAAGAGTTTTTCATATAGTTTAGATAGATATTAATATTGTATATCTGCTACAGTGTTTTCTCCCAGTTGGTCACTTGTGTTTACTTTTGCTGTCTCTTTTAAATAGATATTTTATACTTATGTATAGTCAAATTGATAAGTATTTTATGACTTATTTCAAAATATAGAGCATATTTTGTAATTTTTTCTAAGCTAATTACCATATATGTCTCCAGACTCCATCTGGAATTTATTTTTGTGAAGACTGTAATAAGGTACAGAGCTACTTTTATTCAAAAGTCCAAAAACCATTTATTGAAGTCCATTCTTACTCATTTGGAATGCTATTTTATCATGTGCTAAATTCTTTAATTGAGATATTTTATATTCCTAATAATATATCACTTAGAGTATAGTTTTCTGCTGTCGTCAGAGATGGTGGGGGAAAAACATTCCTAATGTTTTCAAAAACTTGTCTGTTGGTGAGCAGACATTCTTTTTGAAGTTTTGATTTTAGTTGCATTAAATTTATCATATGGATTTGAAGAAAATTACAGTTGACCTTTAAACAAGCAAGGAGTTAGGGGTGCTAACCTACCGCACAATTGAAATCTGTGTAGAATTTATAGTTGGCTCTCCATATCCGTCATTCCTCCATATCCTTGGTTCTGTATCTGTGAATTCAACTAACTGCAGATTGTGTAGTATTTCTCTTCAGGAGCAATCTATGTCTTCATTAAACCAGATGTAGGCTTCTCTTGGTTTCATAAAATTTCTTTATATGATCATATATTTTTCAACAGATTTATTTCTGGGGATTTTATTTTCATTGTTATAATGAAATACATCTTTTTTCTAATGTATTTTATAATTGGTTATTGTCATGGTAAAAGCAATTTGATTTTTATATGCTGATCTATTATGATACTGCAGAACTCTTAAAACTTTGTTAATATAGTCTGAGAAAATCCAAGAGAATCCCATCTTCTGCAATTGATGAGCCTTTATTTTCTATCCAATATTCATATTTCACTTATTTGTTTTTAGTTAGGATTGCTTTAGCAATATGGCAAAGAATGTTGGGTACTAGCAGTGCTTAGCAAAAATTTGTGTTGTTACTGACTTTAGTAGAAACGCTTTTAATGTTCTACCATTAAGGATAGTCTGAATTTCTGGTAGATATCCTTGGTTAAGTTCTATTTTATTACCAATTTGCTACTTGAAAAATTTAAACTAGAGGTAGGTATAGAATTTTATCAAGTGATTTTTTCCAGCATATATTAGAAAATCAGTATCTTTGATGTAATTTAGTGAATTTTATTCAAAGATTTGTAACATAGAATCATATTTTCATTTCTGGAATACCAACTTTTTATAAGGGAGATGAAATTGGTACATTTGCCTGTTTCATGGAATTTCATCTACCCCTGATATATTTTTAAACTTGTCTAAAGAGGAAAAAAATGTCTTCCATAAGGTCTTTATTACATGGTGATTTTTACCTACTTAATTTTTTCTATAGTTACTGAACTAATTGGATATTCTTTCTCTTCTCAAGTCATTGTTACTAAATTGTATTTTCCTTACAAATTATGGCTTTAATCTAGATTTTGAAATTTATTAGTGTAAGTTATATAGGATCATGCCTTTTTATTAATTGCTAGCTTGCAAGTGACTGAAACCTAATTCAAATATGTGAGTCTGCAAAGTCCAGGGATAAAAATTGGCTTTACCTACTGCTGGATCTATGAGTTCCACAGGAATTAGTCATTCTCTCCATCTCTCCTTTTTGCTCTCCTAATTAATGGTTAACTGTTCAGTCAAGATCTCTCCTCATTCCCTGATTTATCAGGTATTTATTGAGGACTTAGTATGTGTCAGGATTTTATTTGTGATGGGAACATAAGTGATTAAAACTTGCAATACAGATGCCAGTGGCTCTGAATTTATATATTTTCCCCTTAAACTAATTAGAAAGTGATTATCTTTAAACAAATCTTGAAATAGAATCTCAGTGAGCCTACTTAAACTTTGAATCATAGAGGGTAATTGTATGGTAACATATTTAGGCAGAGGGAGAGGCCTGTGACAGTTCACAGTTTTCCATGACTGTGGATGCCATTTGAAGAGTTCTGAACTTTCCACCTGCTTCCTGAGGGGAACGAGGGAGAGAGCTTAGAGTATAGTGTCCACAGGCTGGTTATAGAGACACTGTGACAAAGTGAGCCAGGACCCCATAGCCATGTGTGGCAGCACCATCCTCACCCAGGGCCCAATTGGAAGGCTAGCTGAGACTTAGAGCACAGGCTAAATGCATGGTGGTGGGTGGAGGGAGGAGGTGGGGAGGATCCGCCAACACAGAAGGCTTTTCCTTTACCCACATGCCATCCACGGAGAGGTGAACTACTGAGAAGAAAAATAGCTGTAGTAGGAAATCTGAACATAAAATTTCACTAAACATTTATTTACAGGAACCTAAACTAATATAAAAGGGACTGAGGTACTTTTGGTAAATTTGTTTCCCCGGACTCCTCTGGAATCCAGTGGTATGAGGGTTTAGGATGAAACTGAGTCCGTTATATAAAGAATTCTGTGGGTATTTTTTTTTTCCGTGTCTGTACTGTAGGCTGAATTTCCAATTCCAATTATGCTAGTTTCCAATTCCAGCTGGATTCTAAATGTCTCTAAAGAAGTACATAAAATATTCAGTATTAGGTTTCATCTTCATTTTTCAAAAAAGTGGTTTATCTACACCACAGACACGCAGATAACAATGAGTTAATGTTCATGGAAAAACAAGGATGGCATAAATCTTAGACAAATAATTTTTAGCAATGTCTTTTACAGCCAGGAATGCATATTCAAATCAAATTTTTTCCGTTTTAATTTTTCCCACTATATCTGACTAATCAGTCTTTACAACGTATTCATTTTGGCTCTTTTTCTCTATCTGAACTTTTCAAGTCTGGCTTCAGTCCCATAACTCTGGCCTTGTTTCCTCACTGCTGGCCACACTCTGCTCTCTAAAGATTATGCAAGCGCAGTGGCCTAATTAGTGGCGGGTGCGTGGATTTTTCCAGTCTGGGTTCACCTGACCATGTGGATTGAGTCTCTAAGAAGTATAAAATACCAAAAGGTGATCGCGTCCCCATCCAGCACAGTGTTTCGCTCCTTCCTTGCATCATTGACTTACTCATTCTGTCTCATCAGATCCTACTTCCCGAGCACCTACGCAGTCTCAGGCGCTGTTTCACGCTCTTGAGAAAACAAAACATAGAAGGACTCGTCCTTGTTTGGTTTTAACTCATTCTTTCGTATTCTTTTGGTTGGCCATTTAACTTTACTCTCTTTCAGTGCAATGATCTGACCCTTCACACTTAGCTAAACGAGCGCCTGGAGCTTGCTTCCGAGTGCGGAGCGCGCGTGCGTGCGTGCGTGTGCGTGTGCGTGTGCGTGTGCGGACAGACGGTCTCTGGGAGCTTCCAAAAGTGCGCGACACCTGCGTGAGAGAGTACGATGTTGGGGGACGCCTGCCGCTGCTCTTTTTTTTTTTAACAAAGGATTTGATTACAACTTAGAAAACCAATGCGTATGAAGAGATAAAATGGGGGTGGGGAGCTACTCTTTTTTTCTCAGAAGACACCACCTCTTGGTTCTTGTAGGAAACGGGTTAGTACGAGATGGCCAAATGTGGAGAGGCTTGGACGAGGAATCGGCCGGGCTCTGCCTGTTAGGCCTGGTGGATGTGAGGGCCACTTCCCCGGGGGCTGGGTGCTAGTGTTAGCTCTGGGCGCCTTGGACACGGGCTGGCCCGAAGGGAAGGTGGAGGCAGGAGGCGGGGTGAGTTGTCCGCGTCTTGCTGCTGAGGTGGCAAGGACGTGAGGTGAAGAGCTCAGCACGAGCGCGACCGTGACGGGTGAGGAAATAGATGCCTGTGGAGACCGTGTGCTTCCCTCAGTCCATCCCGTTTCCTTTCCTCAGTGGTTCATTCAGCATCCTGTGCGGGGTGCAACAAGGTGTGGAAATACCGACACAAATGAGATAAAGTGCCTGACCCCCAACTCCAGGAGTTTAGCCACACAGGAGGAGAGCATCTGCCTCTGTGGAGAAGAGGACACTGCCAGGAGCTCAGAAGAAAGGTGGGTGACGGGGTGCGCGTGTGGAGGCGTGGAGGAGAGGGAGAGAGAATTCAGACCAAGGGGAAGTGAAAAAGTCAGTGGAAAGACAACGGTGGCTAAATCCATGCTACTTGTCTCCAGGGAGTGTGGAGGCCAGCTCTTCTTGAACTGGATATAATGGAAATTTTAACTTTTCTGCAGTGTTTTATGTATTTGTATCTGAAATTAGACAAAATAGGATACAGTGTTAACTGTTAATTCTCGGTATTGCTATATGTACATTTCAGTACTCTTTATATTTAGTTTTTTTTTTACTCTATTTTCCCTTTTTTCACTCTTTTCATCTAGTTTTTTTTTCCTTTTTGGGGTTCTTTTTGTTTGT